ACCTTTCTGTCCCATGGCATATTGCATTTGTGAAGTGGCTTGTGATAACTTTTGATGAGAAATAACTGGAAAAATGAGAAGTAAGAAGTTTGGCCCTAAGAATGTTCCTTTTCCTGGCTTCTTGCTTGCTAATGTCTAGCTCCTTTACTAGCTATTGCTCATTAGCACTGCACTGTGGAATAGAAGTTCCCTCCTAGCTTGTGTGTGTATGCCGGAATATGTAAATACACTTTGTTACCTTCTGATTAGGTAGTGGTTTATTTTTAAAAAATACGATAGTAATGAGACGTGGCTTCCAAAATCCACTGTTTTCAGAATTCCATAAACTTCAGACTCTATAGCTTAGCTTCTATGCTTCCTATTCTTTGGCCTTGTAGTTTATATTCGGAGTTTATTTGATGTGTTAAAGATGGTAGAAATTAAGCTACAAGATGTTCTTCCTCATCCTTCAGCTCATTTGTCTGTTAGGGATCCAGGCATATTTAGTTACCTGCTATATAAATAATATGTGAAGTTCTCTGTACTTAAGCTTGAAAAGTATTCCAAAATATGCCTCACTGTTTATTTCTGCAAAGCTTACATACATTTCTCAGCCATGTGTAACTACTTAAATGTAATTAATTGAAGTTAGGCAGAATTTTAAGTTTGTCTCTGCAGTGACACTAACCACATGTCGTGTACTCGCAAGATACGTGTGGCTGACAGCTGCTACATGGAAAGAGGACGCAGCTCTGAGGGCCAGAGCTGGGCCACGCTGTGCAGATATCCACTCCACTGTTTATTACCACTGCAGGGAACTGTTAGATTCTGAAAGGTTTTGGCATCCTTTCCACAGTGCTAGAATGGTCTGAAGAACAGGATGGAATGTAGACCCAAACCGTTCCATCCTCCTGGTTTCCTTTCTGTACATCTCTACTTCCAGTTTCCCAGCTGTAGTGTTCCATGGTTCCAGCATCTAAGATCTTCACATTACTATCATGATGTCTAAGTGAGAGTTATCATAAGAAGAGTCCCTGTTGCTGTTTAGATGAAAAGTATTGAGCCTTATAGTTTATAATCTAAGATCTTTTGATGTGTTAAAGTTGGAAGAAATTAAGAAGGAAAATCCATGTCCCCCTTTTTAATAGCAATTTTATTAAAATATAATTCATGTCATAAAATTTGCTCTTATGCAATCTAAGTGACTATTTGTATCTTTTCGCTTAACCTAATATTTTCAAGGTTCACTCTTTCTGTGTCACATGCCAGTATACTTCATTTTCCATTGTAGAATGTTCCAGCCAATGGCTTCCTATTCATCAGTTGGTGGAAATTTGGTCTTTTTTTTTTTTTTTTTTTTTTTTTGTCTTTTTGAGACAGAGTCTCACCATGCAGTTTAGGATGGCCTCAAGTTCACTTTGTAGCCCAGGCTGGTCTCAAACTCACAAGGATCCTCCTGTGTCAACCTCCTGCGTACTGGAATTATAGGCTTGTGCCACCATGCCCAGCTCTATTTTTAACCACTATAAATAATGCTAAAATAAATATTCCTGTACACATTTTTATGTGGGCATGTGTTTTCATCTGAGCATACAGTTAAAAATAGAATTACTGGATCATATGGTAATTCTGTATTTAGTATGTTAAGGACCTTTCTGTTTTCCAGAATGACTACATCATCTTTAATTCCTACCCACAATGTCTGAGAGGTTTGGTTTCTCCATGTTCTCACTAGCACTTTCTACTGTTTTTTTTTATTATAACCCCTCTAATGGGTAGAAAGTAAACTTATATTTTCATAAAGATTAATGATATCAAACATCTTTCCATGTGTGCATTAGCCTAGGGTAGATGTAGCACTCACACCATAATCCCAGCATTGGACCATGAATCAGTCACAGACTCTAGAAGTCCACCTCCTTGACTGCATGAAGTTTTGGGGAAACATCCAGACTCAAGCCATAACATAGAGGTTACATTAACCATGTGGAGACTATTTCCACCTTCATAGCATTGAATCTTCCAAGCTATAGACATAGAAGGCCTTCCATTTGTTTAAGTTGTCTTGATTTTTGTCATGGCGTTTCATAGCTTTCTGTGTATATGCCATGTGCTTCTTTTGTTAAAGTATTCCTTAATATTTATTCTTTGTGTGATTGAAAATTATTTGTAATTGTAATATTTTGCAATTGAAGTTTTTTAACTGAGCAGTATAGAGAAGGACCCTGAACTTTATATTGATCTTATATCAGCTTTGCTTATGAGCTCCTTGTAATGGGTGATATGGAGAATGTATGTAGAATTTATTGTGACTTAAAGGGAATTTTTTTATTTTCTAGGAATTGTAGCTGTAGGATACATCAATGAAGCTATAGATGAAGGGAATCCTTTGAAGACTTTAGACACCTTGTTGTTACCTACTGCTAAGATCAGAGATGTGGACCCAGCCCATGCCCAGCACTACCAAGATGTTTTGCACTATGCAAAATCACAAAAAATCATGGTAGGTTTTAGTATGTTTGCTTCTTTTCATGTTTATAGGCCAGATGGGAAGTGAGAAGATTTTTGATACATTTTTTTAAAATCTGACTTTCTTATCCTAATGCATCAGAATGGAGATAATAGAGCTGTTATTTTCCTGGTGTCAAACATGAGAAAGCACAGCTTCGGGGTTCACTGTTGCACCCTTTCTTTTATTTAAAGCTCAGTTGTAGGTGAGTTTCTCAGAATCCAGTCCTAGGAAATTTCTGGGTATACCGTACAGCATGTGGCCTTTGGGAAGAAGGGGACAGAGGTAACTCATGATACCCTTTGACTGTTGTCTATCATTGCCAAAGTGTGTGGGTGTTGACTAAGGCAGCGGGCAGGAGAGACGCCTATGTAGCCAAGTATTGAAGACACAGATTCAGAGACAATGGGAATTGTCATGCTCTGGGATCCTAAGAGTGGCTGGCATGGGGGTAGAATAGGAGCTGTGTAGGATGGGAAAGGAAGAGTTGGGTAGGCTGGGGGAGGTTGTGTGATGCAGACAGGAAATGCCGTGCAGAGGGTGCAGCAGCTTTGGCCTGGATACAGTAGTAGCTGGCCCTGCTGGAGTCTCCTTCAGGAGTGGTAACATTTACCCAAATGCAGTGCTTGTCCTGATGATAGGAGGAGTCCCACAGAGAATGACCACTCCTAGAAGGGAACTGGGTTGGATGTTGACTCTCAGGGCCTGTCACCTGAGAGATGGACAGGGATGACACATAGGTGGGACCTCACTACTAGTGGCTGCTATATCCCAGTTCCAAGCCCAACTGAAAGGGGCATTTCCTCTGTCTGTCTTTACAACTCAGGAATTACCTCATCCAAAACAGGAAAGACATCATCGATTTGAGCAAACACTTATTGAGCGTCTACTCTTCTGCAGGCATGATAGTGGGTATTTTATGCAGCTATCTCATTTAATCATTACAGCAGTTCATAACAGTCCCCTGAATCATTTCACCATTATTATTGCCTTCTTGCAGATAAGGCAATCAGGATTAAATAGCTTGTCCAAAACCACCCAAAGGTGATTAATTCTGGGACTACAACCCAAGTCTGTCTGATTCAGAAACAGCTTATTGGATATTAAGACAGAAATAAAGGGGTGTTTACTGCAGCTTTGTTTGGAATAACAAAAATTTAAAATGATCTAAATTTTGAAAGGAAAAAATACATGCTTCCATACACATAAAAATGGGAAATGCATGCCCAGGATAGGGAGCCATGCACACTTATATATGCATGAAGTAGTTCTGAAGGGCGAAGCATCTAGAAATTGTTCTAGAAGTCTGAGGTAGATGGGAGCTGTCTTTTTCATTCTGTGTGTTTCTATCATTTTGATTTTTTTTAGACAAACATTTAGTAAACTTGATATTTCTAAATTCTTAAAGACCAATGTAGGGCTAAGAATTTAGCTCAGTGGTGTAAGTGCCTGCCTGGCAAGTGCGAGATTGTGAAGTTTAATCCCCGGTACCAAAAACAAAAAAAGACCAATGTAAATCCCATTCACTTCACGCTCAGAAGCTGCCACAGTGAGGGTGATGGAAACAGTGGCCAAGGCACAGCCCGCTGCCAGCTCTGATGGTGGCACTGCCCTTCCTCTGGGTATTCCTGAGTGTGCATGCTTCAGCAGCACTGGCTGCAAGCTCTCTCCCCTGATGTGGATGGGCCTGGGGCTCAGAGTGAATGCCAGGCCAATGGACAGCAAGAGAACAGGACAACGAAGGCTCAAACCCAAGCCTCATGTCCCCAGATCCACAGGGAGAATAGGTTCGTCCTTTCAGTGGCTGAGGTAGCTGTGTCCATGCTGCACAGAAAAATTACCAGCATTGACGGAAGAAGCTATTTCCTTTGGAGACAGGCATCATTCAGGTACTGCTCCTGGTCTATTTATATCTCTATATAATTATATTCTACAATATGAATATATGTGTACATTTGTGTGTTTGTGGCTATAGCATTGAGCATGGAGCCTGGTACTGATGCAACTGCTTAAATTATATAGCTAATTATTGTGGGTATTTGGGGGTAAATGATGTTTGGATCACCAGGTCTTTGTGCGACACAGGGTCTGCTCTGTCTAAATACATATTGAGCTAAGCCTGACTCCACAGGGCCAAGGCCTTTCATAGGCTGGCAGCATGGGTCCCCTCCCACTTTCATTTGAAGTCTTTCAATCAAGATGGCAGCCCATGGGACCTCACCTATGGCAGCCATGGGTTGGGCAGTTATTTGTGTGTGGAATGTTGTATAACATTCTGAATGTTACATATGGAGCCTAGGGACCTTGGAGCTAGCTCAGGAATCAAGCCACTTTTGACCTATAAATCTAGGGGCTTACGGTCTGTTGAACATAGCTGACAGACTTGAAACACTATGATTCTGATACCTTAGATTTGGTTAAAGTGCTGTTTTTAAACTTTTCTCAATCTGATCTTTTCCCTTGGTGTTGTAGTCAAGGGTGCAAGGAAAACAATTATATACAAGACACAGAATACACAGCATTATTTTATGATGGTCATCCAGATTTAAATACAAGAAATTCAGGAAATCTGTCCACCACACTAAAGACCTGAGAAAATCTAGCTAAGGGCCCAGATTCCATGGCAGTGTTATGCATGAGTACAACTGAAGAGCTAGAGCCCATGCCAATGCCTCCCACAAGTCCAACTAGAGGTCTAGAGCCCACAACAATGACTCATGCAAGTCTATTTTATGGATCTGCACTGGGAAGGTCCAGAGGTCAGCAGTGGAAGCTAGAAAGTTTACGCCAGTGGGTGAAGGACTTGGGCCAGTAGTTGAGGGTTCCGCACTGGAGACCAGAAGTGACACTCAAAGACCAAGGCTCCTCCAAAAAGTACCACAGCCATCCTCAGCAACAGTGAGATCCCAAGTTCCTCTGACGATGAGAACAGCTGAGTACTTATCAGGGAGCCAGCGTGACAACCCTAGAGTATAAACGGCACACATCTTCCCCTCTGGAGCCAGGAAGAGATGCTCAAAGTACGGACCAGCATCCTGCAAAGGGAACCACAGCCACTCTCAGTGACAAGGTCCTGAGCTCCTCTGATGATAGTGGCTGAATTCATATTGGGGAATCTAGCCATGACAAGCTCCTCCAGGGGAATCAGTGACTCCAAACAACGATGCTTAGGAGAACCCACAATGATCCATTCCTCTCCATGTCTCTTTTTTTGCTGGCAACTTTCCTCAGGTGGACCATCTACACTCAGCACCATGCTGATTTAATTCAGCTGGTGTTAAGCTGACCACCAGTTTTAAACCCGTAATAATTGAAAAAAATTTGATTTGTTGTTTGTTTGACTGGGTCTTTGAGTTTGCTTTTTAACTTCTGCTATTTTGATTCTGGGACATTTGTGGCATTTCTTTGCCTTTCCTTGGCCAGAGTCTGGCCTTGGAAAATATCAGAAGAAAGTTTTGGTGCTGGCATTATTGGTGTATAGCAAAGCTTGTTCCAAGGTATACACCATTAAAAATTTTGAAGGCTGACATCTTCATAGAATGGATGTTCTGTTTCATCAAAGACCAAGGACAGTGGTATAAGCTGATGAGGGTTTTAAAGAACCTTCACGAGGCATACTACATAGAGAGAATCAGCAGATGAGGCAGCCATCAGAAGAATCAAAAATGATGCTAAATTCCAAGGTGGCACTGCTCACAGGTGGAGGAAGAGGAGGCTGAAGAGCTTGAAGTACCAGTAAGACCAACAAAATATGTCCATTGCTGTAAAGAAAATAGCGATAACTTTTCCCCTGCATTGACATTCTTCAAATACTGATAAAGTATTTAAATCTTTGATATTGTTTATTTAAAAACACAGTTTCTTAGGAACCCAACAGTGGAGCTGGAGGACAGGTCCTTGCACTACACAAATGTGTTTTCCACAGTTTTATTTCTTCTCTAAAATACTCTCACCACTGTAAGATAAAAAGTGGACCGATCTACAATTTTTCCTTTTCCTGTGAATTGTGTCCCTTTACCTTTTTTTTCTGTTTTAACTTTTAGATTATTTTTAAAACTTTTCCTGGGCCTCTCCGTCTCCCATGCTCTTCCCCACAGTACTGGGGATTGAACCCACTCTGTGAAGAAAGCACTCTACTGCTGAGCTACATCCTCAACTGATCTGTGACTTTAGACATGAGAAAATAAAGGAATGGATCTAGGCAACTATTCAGGCTACCTAGGCACAACCCTATGAGGTAGATAACGTATAAGCCTTCAGTGTTGTTGGAATAGTAGTTAGCATAGTAAATGGCGAATAGAATATTGCTTGGAACAAAACAAATGGTAAAAATCACAAGGATGAGGAGAATCGCCTTGATATACCTCCGCAGCTTTGGATCATGTGCATTAAGTTTACAGATGATGTTTGTGTAGCAGTAAATAACAGTCACATATGGAATCAAGAACCCAAAGAGAGTCATGGATATGAAGTGGTAGAGGTGGAAGGGAGGTGTAGACTCACATGTGCTGTGGACATCCCGGCAGGTGGTGATATTTGGTGGAACAAGATAATCCTGCTTAAGGATGAAATATGGAAGCATGTAGAAAAATACTATGGCCCACACTAGTCCACATGCTAGCCAAGCACAGGTGTACTTGGACAGCCTCCGAAACACGAAAGGGTAGATGGTGGCCAGGTAGCGGTTGATGCTCATGCAGGCAAGGAGAAGAACAGAGCAGTACATGTTGCCGTAGAAGATAACTGTGATGGCCTGGCACATGACCTCTCCAAATACCCAGTGGTCCCCATTGAGGTGGTAAGCTACCTTAAATGGCAGTGTCGCACAGAAGAGAGTGTCTGCGATGGCCAGGTTCATGTGGAAGATAGCAATGGAGGTGGTCTTGAAGAAAACTTTCCGCAGGGTCACAGTGTTGGCTGGCACACCAACCACAAACACCAACAGGTAGATGGTGGGTATCACCTTGGAACTTAAGGGACTGCTCAGGTGCCCTGTGGTAGCATTATTTACATGCAGATTGGAAACATTTCCTTCGAAACACTTCATTTTTTTCAGTTATGTTGGCTGCTGTCCAGCATTCTCTGTCAGAAAAGGGGAAGTCTGCAGAAGAGTTTGGGGAGCTCCGTGAAGAGTCTTAATAGCTGAATTTGGGTAATGCCAAGGTGTCATTTTCCATGTCTGTAATTGAAAGGAAATATTAACACATGATTTGTCACCAAGCTGTATCTATGGTTTTGATGAAGGTAGGGTAAAATTTTATGCCACATAATTTCTGTGGCTATATAGTTTAGGGTTATTTTTAAAAATTATAGATCAGACAGTCATCAGGCATGTATGTAGTACATATTGTATGTCCCAGCACCATTGTATCCCCATGCAGGGACAGAAGCTAGGAAAAGCAGCTCCTTGCATGTGAGGAGTTTTTTATACCCCTGGAAGAAACATAAGGAGCCCCAAAGAGCATAACAGGCAAATGTTCCCATGTACTGTAAGCTGCCTAGGTAATCAGACAATAGTTAGCAGATGCAGGTATTTGAGCAGAATGTCAGGGAAAAGAAACCTGAACAAAGATAAGCAAGGCTTAGGAAGAGCCAGAGTTTAACTCATGAATTAGACTCTGCTGATGACAAGAAGGCCCGGGCATAGTGTCTGGTTATCTGAGACCATCAGGTAACTTGACTCAGAAAATGTTTATTACATGCCATGGTGTCAGCTCTCTAAAGCTCCAAAAAAACACTACTGCGGTCTGTAAATAACTCTTATTAGACTTGCTAGGGAACATGCACAAAAATGCAGTGTCTTATGCTAGAAAAGTACATTTGAGAGATAGAACTGAAAAGTAGATTATTCTCAAAATTCTTTTGTGGCCTCTAAGCTGTCAAAATCATGGGCTTTTTCATAGATGCTGGAGCTGTCCATCCAACTTTGAGCAGAGAAATGACCATTGTAATAGACACAATAACCTCCCGCCCCAAATCCTACCTGCTAATGTTTAGAACCCAGTCCCTTGACAGCAGGGTCTTTACAGATGGGGCAGCTAAGATCTGGAGATGAGGAGAGTACCCTGATAAACCAGTATTGCTTTAAACATTCAATTCGATTCATGATCATTTTTATAACAGCAATAGGAAACTCATAATCATGATTTCAACTTGTGTTTAAGATGACTTTGGTAGCAGTGTAGAGAACAATATAAAGGTAAGACATGGAAGGTGGGGGGCCCTATTGGAGGCTGCTGTAACCAAAGTCTAAGGGTGGTAAGATACTAAATAGAGGAGATGGTGTGGGAGGGCAAAATGAACATGGGAGGCTGCGCAGCGATCAGAGGGACTCAGCACCCGATTGGCTGCTGGACGGCGAGAGAGAAGCCAGGGGCAGGATGAACCAAGACTTGTGCGGTGGATACCTGAGATTGGATGGGGGAGAAATTACAATGTTCGCTTTTGGTATTACTGAGGTGGAGCTGTTGATGAAATATTAGTGTGTAAAATACCCAATGACTGATTATGAGCCTGCTGGTGGGTTCTAGATTTCCAAGAGACCAAATTAGAGGTCTGGATATTTTTAGTCTACATAGAAACCATTGTTTAATTTAAAAGAAGTGGTTGGTGATAAGTAGGAAGACATGTGAGAAGAAAGAATCCCAAGGTAGACTTTAGAGAAAATGCCATGTTTTAAGACAAAGGAAGAAAAATCAGAAGATGAAATCATTATGATGATGCAAGGAATTTTTGAAAAGGAAAGAAATATATCAGCTCCATATAATAAGTGTTTGGCATTGCTCGACCTGATGTTAACAATCTTAACTCTTAAAATTTCAAGAAGAAATAAACCTTCATACCCAAACCTATCTATCACTGCATAATTTTTACCCAAGCTAGTCACTGCCATGTATAGAAAATAGATTCCTCTTTGAGATAGGTGTCTAGGGCACAGCCACACGGCTGGAGCATTTGGGCACAAGATAACAGTTGAAGAGATTAATCACAGGCACAGAGCAGTGGCTCCCAAGCCTCACCCAGGATCACACCAGCTCTGCACCCGGCACTAATCTTCTGACACAAGAACATACCCAGCCTGGCACATGATGCCAGTCTTCTCGCACGAGATCAAGTGGCTGTGCCTTGACAACTATCCAAGAAGACCTAACAAGATGTCAGCGATTGCCTTTGACGCCACCGCCCCCCTGTTTGGCAGTGATCTGTTCTGCTTGTAGGATGCATCTGCTCTTCCTCTTTCCAGTCACCCTTTCCTCTCTGAGCACGTCTCTTGGGCTTCTTCTCCTGTTCTTCTCATTTTGTGCCCTAAAGAAATGTTAATCTTTCACGTTTACCAGTGATCCTGTCCAGTTCATTGAATGGAACAGTAAGAACCTAGACAGCCCTGCTGGTCCCTACATCACTTGGTAGCATTGATATGCAAAGTTTAGATGAACCTTTATGGCAAATATAAACTTTATATTTACCAATTTAAAATGCCATCTGTCTACCAATTGTGACCTGTTACATGACCTCTAAATCTGTGTTGAATACTCAAGGTTCATGTCTAGTAATGTTTCTCACTCAGAGCTATTTTCTCTTCCTGTTTTAATATTTCATGGTTTCTTCTGGGTAAAATTGAAGCCTCCTACATTGTGCTGTCTGTGTCCAAGGTGTCAAAGGTGTAATTAAATGTTGGGGACATGTAGTGATCCGGTGTTCATTAAGGAGAAGTACATATGAGAAAAGGAAGGAGGAATTTAGAAAGTGACCTCCTTCTGCACCTGTGTTGCCATGTGATCACTTGAGATGCACAACATGTGACACTGCCTGAGCACACACTCATGTTTTGGGGATTATGCTTGACATCTCCCAGATAGAAGTGTTTTTAGAGATAGGCAGAAAGCTAGTGAGCAACAGCTGTAGACCATGTTGTTCATTCCTTCAAGGACTGAAAATAAAGCTGGTAAAACTAAGGGTTTGTTAGTTTTCAGAAAATGCTGTGATTGAAGAAGATACTGTGCATGAAAAAATGCTAAACAGTGAAAGTGTGGAAAAGTTGCCTGGGTTCCATCGTCCTTAAGAATTCCAATCTGGTTCCACTTGAATATGTCTTTTATTTCTCCAAGCCTGGTTTTCCTTTAGAAGACCGTTTATTGTTTCTTTTTCAAAAGAAAAAGAAATATTTGGGTTCTTTACCCAGATTTCCACGTGGCATAATGTTTCTGAAATGTTTTCAACCTGGGAAAGGTGCAGGGTGATAGGTTCTTCCTTCTCATCTCCCTCTGCCCCATCAAAGAAGGCACATTTACCCCATGTTACTTGGTCTACTCTGAAGTTCTCCTTTTCACTTCCTGTAACTTGCTGTTTACTTCCTGTAAACCCCACTACCCCGTTTGAAGGAACCTTTTCAGTAAACCTTGTATTGTTGGCCACTCTACTGCCCAGTTTTTTGGCTCGTGTGCTCCCGGAGAGAGCCTGGACTGACCCATTCACAAATCCCAGACGGGCCAGTGCTGTCCTCGGGTTCCCTGGAAAACCAGCAGCAGCAATTGACTCTTTCTGAGAATAGTTTTGTTTCCCCCATTTGTGTCTCACCAGGAAGTATAAACATAAGATTTTCTTTAATTCTCTGAAAGAGTTCTGTCTGCTAAATGAGATGGAATTGGTACAAATAAAAAAACTCACAAAGAGATTGCTTCATGGCTCCATTGTAGATACCAAAGGTTTATTCAGTTTGTCTGCTTTGGTTTGCTTTGGTACTGACATTCTAACTCAGACCCTCCTGCTTGCTAGGCAGGTGCTGTGCTGCTGAGCTCCATGCCCCACCCCAAAGTTCTTGGCACCCTGACAGGTTTTTCAGTCTCAGTAGAGAGCACTTAGACCTTGACAAAGTTTAATGTGAACAAATCCAGATACTTCCCTGACTATATCTTTTAAAACAGAGATCACACTGCTTTCTGGGTTTGCGCTTCTGTAGATGTGATGGAAATTAAGTTCATTTCACTCCTCATCAACCAGCCCTGCCCCATCGGAACCGGAAGCCAACAGCTTACCTTTTTGACAGAAGGTGGGTGTCAGAAGCAGTCCAGCAGCTGTGAACCCGAGGGCCTTCATTTTAGTGACCCGAGTCCAAATTTCCAAATTCTCAAATGCCTCCTAGTGTGTAAAGTCAGGAAACAGTTTCCCCTCAGTCACCACCCTCCGCCCCGCAGGAAAAGGATGTGACTCAGCCCAAACGGCAGTGTGCAGAACTCTGGAAGTCCCCAACTCTGCTGCCTTAGCCTCGGGATCCTGCACTTGGACCCCTGGCTGTGCATTCGGAGTGGATGCTGGCACTCACCTGGTACCTGCACACCTAGGAGAGGACAGAAGCTGTGCTGAAATAGATGCTGAGCAGGTTAGCTTGGAATATGGTCCATATCTCATTTTTACCCATCTTAAAACAGTTTCAGAATGTAATTTCTACTTAGTAAATGAGCAATGAGAAATTATTCTTTTATTCTTCTAGTTATTCCAAATTTTAATGAGAAGGGAACTTTTGTGAGACACTGTCACACTGTGTAATTCAGGCTGCCTTTGAATTCACAGTGATCCTCCTGCCTCAGCTTCCCAAATGCTGAGATAGGAGGGGTGTGGTTACACTCAGCTCACATTTAAATTTTTAGTGCATTGCAGAACTGTAAGCAAAGTCGATCGTGGAAAGCAAACTTTTTAAGGAGTTAAAACTGGTTAGGCGGTCAGTCTTGAAGCAGAGAAATGTAAATTATGCAATGAATAGTACAAGTCCATTACTCACTCACTACCCAGCAATCACTGAGTTGTAAAATAGATTCTGTTTGAGAAGTTACACACTGTTTGTGAACTAGCCTGTCTAGTTGCAGCCCTGTTTGTAGGAAAAGAGCTAGATCTTTACTGCCGTTGAGATGAAATACTGTACATGAATTGGAGAATGAGGGTTGCCCTTCTAGGGAGACTTGAACAAGAGAACATTCACAGTAGTACAGAAATGGCTTTAGCACTTTAACTCTTAAACACTGCCCAGCACCTCACTTCATCCTGTAGCTTCATATGGTTTTTTTTTTTTGTTTTGTTTTGTTTTTTGGTACCAGGAGTGGAACTCATGACCTTATACTTGCCAGGCAGGCACTTATACCACAGAGCTATAACCCTGGCAATATGACTTTTTTAGTGCCAAGCAATTTCTGTACTTTTTATCTACATTATATACATATATATGTATACATAATTTATATGTATTCATAAAATTTCTTCATTCTAAAATAGTACAGCTTGAATTGAAACAGACCCACATTAAATGTGCATGTTAGTAATTCATTCATATAGATAATTGCTATAATTATGATAAATTATAGTTAATTGGCCATACAGTTAATTTGTTGTTGTTGTTACTTGTTAAGCTACCTTTTGCAATTGACCAGAGGCTCTAATGCAAACTGTTTAGTCACAGAGGGAGTCTCCCTCCTGAGGCTCAAGTCACACATCAGTGATTCTTTCAAAACTGCTTCTGGTTGGATGGATGTTGCATCTTGTCTAGGGAATTCCTAATGATCTGTGGAGACATGTAAGAGGAGGGCCCCCTGGGCGAAGGTAATGCACACAGTTTCACTGAGGCACTGTAGAAAGAACCATGACCACTGCCACCAGAAAGCCTTGTGCAATGTGATCTGTATCCTTGAGCACAGCAGGAGTGCAGAGGCCTCCAGCACCTGCAGGAGCCAAAGGGAAGTGTGTGGCCTCTTGAAGGCTTGCAGAGTGCACTCCTCAACTCCTGAGGACAGTCCAGTGGCAGGTTTAGCACGCTTCCCTAGTAAATAGTTCTTGTCCACCACCTCTTGCAGCAAGGGTGATTCCACAGGAGAACATGAAAACAGATCTGAGTATCCGTTTAACATCACGATGGTGTGTCAGACAGTGTGGGGCTCTGAGTCAGCGGGTCCCCTGGTACATCTTCATGCAGATGGTTTGTTGCTAAGAAGGTCATGTTTTGAGCAGCACACACCCACAGTTATGCATTTGACTTACTCCACTCCTCGGGGCCCCCCAGCCATGGTCATTTCAAGTGGCTTTGAATATCTGACTACCAGCTTCTTGAGCTCAAAGTCCCACATTTGGCAGCAGTTTTATAACTTGTGTGAGCCACACAGCTGTGGCTGGAAAGTGGAATTCTTTGTCCGTTGCCCTTTGATTTCTCAAAGCTCGGGAAAGGAGCGGCTGCTAGGGTCATCACTGTCGAGCAGTACAACTCAAGTAATAAACTAACATTTTCTCTTGCAATAGCTTTGGTGCTGCACTTTCTGTCTGAAGTTATCCTTAATGTCTTTTCTCCTGTAATTGAAGATCCAGAGCACAAGTTTACTCCTTCTTGCCTCTGTGTCCATCATGTACCTGCAGCTAATACCACCATGACCCACTTATACATTTGTCTCTCTACTAGATTGTTAGCTCCTAAAAGGCAATCGCCATGTTTTGATTTTATTGTCTCTGTGTCTGACAAATTTTGAATATCACTGTATTTCCCTCAAATATAACATGTTCCCACCAACTTGTACCATTAGTGGTGTAGAGCACCCCAGCAGCAAAACATTTGAATGACAGTCCCTTCATTGACATGTTAAAATGTCGCATGGCTCCTTGGGACATCTTGGCATATAGTTTGGGATACATAGTTATTACATTGTTAGAGGTACAGATGAGTAGATAAGGAGAATGGGATTTATACACAATGCAATTCTACTTAGCCACAAAGAGGGATAAATTTGAGTCATTCATAGAAAAACAGATGGCTGTTGAGACAATGCTAAATAAAATTAACCAGACATGGAAGGTTAAATATCATATGGTTTCTTAAATATGAGAAAACCAAATATAAATAGGGACAAAATAAAAAACAGTTGTTAAGGAGCTGGGCGTGGTGGCTTATACATATAATCCCAGAACTTAGGAGGTAGAGGCAGGAGGATTGTTATGAGTTTGAGGCCAGCCTGGGCTACAAAGTGAGCTCAACGCCAGCCTGAACTGTGTAGTGAGTCCTGCCTCAAAAAGCCACCCCCCAAAAAACAAAAAACAGATGATAGGGAAAAGGGAGGGAGAATATGTGAAGACAGGGAGGGGAACAAAGGATGTAGGAGATGGGGTGGGAAGAAAAGGAAGTAAAAAAATGATCAAGATGAGACATGTCTATGCACAGGTTCCCTAAGATATATGTGATTACTGCATATTACTGTGCACACAAACACAAATGCTAGGCCCAGGATGTATCTCAGTGGCACAGCGCCAGCCTGGGAAGCGTGAGGTCATGAGTGCAATTCCCAGTACCAAAAGACAAAAAAAGGAAAAACAAATGCTAAGGGGAAAAATACTTGAAGGGGAAGGTAGCTAGGGAAAGGTGTTGGAGGAGGCAGCATTTGAATTGAAATCTGCATGCTAGGAAGAGATAGTGCGTGGTGTGTTCTGAAGGAAACTCGTGAGTCCTGGGACAGGACTGGGGAGCTGGGAGGTGCGGGGTGCACAGGGCTGGGTCATCCAAGCCGTGTGGTCCAGGAGCTCTGTGTGTCTCCTAACTGCAGGGCACAGGCTGTGGGATGGGATTGTGCAGAGGACGGGTGTAATGAAGTGTCCATTTTGAAGAGATTGTGTGGTTCTCTGTAGAGCTCAATGCCTAGCCCAGTACAGAGCGTCTTCAGAAGCAGCAAAGGCAAACAGACTAGTGCTGCTGTCATTAGAGAGCTGATGTGGACTGGATTCAAGGTGGCAGGAGAGGGAGGCATGGACGGATTGGGAGTCAGTCGTTAGTAGTGTATGCTGCAGGTGGCAGTCACCATGTCACTTCTAGGGAAGGGTTTGTGGAAACTATAGTACAGGAGCTCCTGAAGAGCAGTTGTGGATTCTGTGTCACCATCTCATCATTCTGTGCCATTGCTCCCAGGATGCCGAGAGTGTCTCTAAAGTCCTCTGGCAGGATGAGATACAGCAAGCCATCCACGAAGCCAACCTGGACGAGGAGAGAGCAAAGCAGTGTGAGTACCTGCCCTCCCTCCTCCTGCTTGCCAGCTAACCTGCCTTGCATTTGGATATGGGCCTGAATCCTGTATGGTTCCCTTCTGGAAAGGCCCTCCAAACAGGTTCACTTATTGGATGCATCTTTATCTAAAAATGTGTCCTGATTGTTGGCCACTTTTCACTGATTCAGTGGCAGCTCCAACCAAATTCAACAGTGCTGGCGGAAAAAAAATCCAGAAAGGAAAAAAAATGCTCCGCAAGCTCTCCAACTTTATAATTGAATCAAGTACTTTTCTTTCTCTTGATCTCTTGGTTCTCTTTCTAAAACCAGCCATTTCTGCTTGATGAATGCCTGTTCTCTTTTCCATACTTGGCTGTTACTTGGGGTTCTCAGAGAAACAGACTAATAGAGAGGGAAGGAAAGAGGGGAGAGTGTACATAGTTACCTTAAGGCATTGGCTCACAAGACTGTGGAGGCCAGGAATCCAGAAATATGTTGGGCAAACTGGGCGAGCCAGGTGTTCACATGTAGGCCCCAAGGGTGAGTGGGCACAGATCCTGAAACGCAGTCCAAGCCATGACTGGGACAGACATTGTAGAGCTGGCTGACTGACCATGTGTTTGAGGACAAGAAACCCGCTAGTATTTGCTATGCTCTTTTTATGTGCAAGTGGAAGAGATTTAGGTCAGGTATAGAAAAGTCTAACTGGTATGATAAAAACAGAGTCAGGGTCCCTCAATTCCCAACCTGGAGCTAGTTTGGCATACCTGAGCCCTTTGAAGGAAGGGGAGGCCAGGTTCCCGTGGGAAAGGATTCCACTACACTGCCAAAAAGTCACGCTGTGAATCTGTCAATCTTCCTCCAAAAAGACTTATGTCCTCTTCCTGGGTGGCTGTGCAAGAGAGAAAGGGCATTTCCAGGACCACTGGACACTGGCCGTGGACTAACACTAACTCTGGGTGACCCACACTGTCACTGTGGTCCTCCAGTGAGAACTGGGGCTCTTGGAAGTCAGGTGAACAGTGTAGTTTAAGTGCAGGTCGATGGCGTAATGGACCCAGTAGGTTCCCAGTTCCATCCTGGGTTACTTCCCCAGTTCCAGAATATATAATTGGAACAGACAGCAACTCAAAGAATCCTCTCATTGGTTTAATGTTTTCTTAGAAAACCTCTCATTTCAAGGAGAAGAGTGAGAAACTTCACAT